CCATATTTGGAGCCCTGCTCTGCTGCCTGACCAGGAAAGGGGGCCCTGAGCGAATGAGACCTGCTGGGGGCCCTCAGCCGGCCCAGCCTCTGCCCTCCAGCCCCCGTGGCTGGGCAGCCGAGGAGGGTGGAGCTCTTGGCCCAAGCAAGAGCCGCAGCCGTTCCCAGGAACGCAGGGCGGTGGGGCCGTTTGCTTTGGCAGTGTGTCTTCCCTCAGCTCTCCAAGCCTCCCGGTGGGCCCCCACCCCAGCTGGCCCCTCAGCGCCCACCCACTGCCTGCCCTGCTGCCCCTCCTGACTCTGCACCTAGCCCCACCAGTCCTTGGGCAGGGAGGTACCAAGCCCGTTTGCCGGCCCCTCCTCACGTCCACGAGCTCAGGAGAGCACTCAGGAGGAGAGCACGGCTTCTAGACTCTCCTGAGATTGAAACCCAGCTTTGCCTCAGACAAGCTGTGTGGCTCTAGGCGGGTTATTTCATGCCCCCGTGCCTTGGTTTTTGCATCCATAGAATGGGGATAAAACAGCGTCTGCTCTGACAGGTGCTGGCACGTTGCCAGGCTCTCCGCACTTGCAGTTTCCAGTCCTGGGCTTGCCTCCCACGTGTGCCACCCAGGGCCAGTGCCTCCCCCTTCAGCCTTCAGTTTCCTCATCTGTAAGACCAGAGTACTGAAGGCTGATCCCAGTCACCAGACTAGGGACACCTCGGAGAACGCTTAGCTGACGGCACAGCGCGGGCCAGGGCCTTGGCTCCCCTTTTCGTTCAATGAGACCACATGGACTTCCGAGAGGAGCACCGTGGGGCCCAAGTCCTAGGCTGGACAGGCCACAGCTGGCTGAAGAGGCAGGTGCAAGATTACCAGGAATCAGGGGTGTCCCTCACATTGCCTTTGCAACACCCATGCACGTGGCCACTCACCTGACCCACGCTGCTGTGGGGCAGGGATGGAGTCCCGTCTTCCAGAGGGCCCATCCTCTCTGCTTCTGCCAGGGAGGCTCTGAGTGGTTTCTCAGGGTGAGTGTCCCTAGCCCTCCACCCACCCTGGACCCCACAGACATCCCTCCAGGCTCAGGGCCAGCTAGCCAGCCGCTCTCCCCCAAGCAGCAAAGGAGGAACTTTCTCTAGAGCAGGATTCTGCCTGCCGCTGACCTTGAGGCTCAGTTTCCCTCTCTGTGGAACAAGGAAAATGACCGCCGCTACTCACAAGGGTCTAACTGGCCCTGTTTACTGCCCGTCCCTGACTGCAGAGGGCCCAGTGAATTCAGGGACGGAAGGGCCAGTGTTTAAAGCTTGTTAGCCCCGCTTCTGATGTGTGTCCTACCCAGGCCAAGGAGCCCTGGAGGAGGCCACGCCTTTTCTGGGCCTCAGTATCCCCCAGTGCGCTAGGCTTCCCCTGTGACTTTCCCGTCGGAGTCGGGGAGGGGATGGGGCATACCTGGCCAGGCCGACAGGCTCTCCGCGGGCGCTGCAGCTGGGGGCCGGTGGCTGGGGCGGCTGCAGGCACACAATAGCAGCCATTGTCTCGGTGCGGCTGGCCGGGACCGCCCAGCCCACCCTCCGGGTGACCCCCGCCCTGGGGGGGAGAACCGGGCGCGGCCCCCGCGCCCCCTACCACCCGCAGCCCCCGCCGCCCCGGTGGTCCCCGCGGCTTCCTTCCTCCCCGCGCCGCCGCTTCCTCCTGCTCCCTCCGCTCTAATTAGTTCCTTTTGCAACTGGAGGAGCCGCGCCGCACCCGGGCTGTGCGACCACCGCAGCGGCCTCCCCGCTGGCCCCTCGCCGTGTCGGAGAGACGTGGTCCCGGGTCTCTAATCGCACCTCTATGCCTCGGCGCGGAACCAGTGGGGAGACAGACACGGGAGGGTTCTGAGAGAAAGCTCAGAGGGACGTGAGGTGTCAGGCAAGGATACCCCCAACACCCCCACCTCGTGCTGCGCCCGTGAGTGCCTGCTGGGTGACCCCCTGGGACTGAGAGCCCGGCTCCTGCCCTGGGGATCTGCCCCACAGCCAGGGACAGGCAGTACACAGGGCCAGTTAGGCTGGTCTGCTGCTCAGAGCAAGGCAGGTGGCCACTGCACCCTCCCGAGTCACAGCCCGCCTCCCTTGGGCGCATTAAGTCAGGAGTGGTGACTGCCTCAGGAGGGGCTGGCAGGGCCAGCCCAGTTTCCAGACCCAGCTTGTCCCCGTCTGGGCCTCAGAGGCCTTCAGGAGAGTGGGAACCTGGCTCTCGCCTGCCCCCGTCACCCAGCCAGGAACAAAGAGCAGTTCTGAGTGAGCCCAGAACTGGCTGCTACCGGCTGGCGCTGGGGTTGGAGGGAGACACTTTGAAGTTGGCCAAGGCCAGAACCCCAGTGGGGTCACGGGCCGACTTCCCCTTGGGGTAGGGCTGTCATGGGAGGAAAAATTCTGGGTGCAGATGGCCTAGGAGGCGCAGCTCCTTCCTCCTTTCCCAGGAGGGGGAGGCTGGCCTTGGGCTGGGCTCTGGCTTCCATTGGAATGAGCCTCTGCCTCCCGGGCAGAAAACCCAGTGGCAGGAAGTGTGGGGGTGTCCCTGGGGACTGGGCCACTGGCGTCCCCCCTCCTGCTTTGAGTGCTGTGCCTGGCACCACCTGGGGGATAGGCCCTTCCTGGGGTCTTCCCCACTTGCAGATGGAGGCGAGTGTCCCCTTAGGCCCGAAGAACAAGGTGACCCAGGGCCCAGGGCCCCTCCCAGTCCTCCCCTGGCCCGAGGGTGGGGGGCAGTGGTGCCAAAGGATGCCACTTGGGCAGCGTTGCCAGTGAGGGTCCGCGTCAGTTGGAGTTCCCAGTTCCCAAACTGTCCTCCCCTTGTGGTCCCCTTCCCCGGAAGGGTGGGGGTGGGGACAGGCTGTGGGGAGGCCTGTGGCCCTGGGCCAGCCTAGGGACCAGGCCACCAGCCCTTCCTGGCTCCTGAATTCTTAATCAGCATAAATATTTACTTCCTTCCTCCCCTTCCAGGCTCCCAACACAGACGAGCTTCAGGAGGCTGGACTGGGCCTGTATCTAAAAATAAACAGGTAGAAGGACAGCAGACACACAGATAGATAGATGTAAAGGGAGCGAGAGGTCAGGCAGAGGGCAATTCCTGCCAGCCGGAGGGGCCCAGGTCATCCATCACTGTCACCTACCCACCTGCTGGCCAAGGTCCCCACCTCTCTTGGGTAGCTGGCAGCCCCTGGCCCACGCATGGCCTGGGGGCAAATCCAAACAGATCTGACAGCTCCAACAGGGACAAGTCGCGCACCTGGGTCCCACGGCCAAGTGCCGATGCCCGTGCTCTGATGACGCAGCCTTGAGAAGGTGGGCAGCCTCCTGTGCTCAGAGACTGACTCCCATGTCAGCCATGTGCAAGTGGGATCTTGGGTTGTGTCCCTGGAGGCAGAGGGCCTCAAGTGAGGGAGGGGACCCTGTGTACTTGGCGAGTCTGCAGAAGTGGAGCTTGTCAGGGTAAATGGACTCATCAGGGCTCAGAACTGAGGCTGGACCAAGCTGCGGAGGGGCCGTCCTCCCATTCTGTTTGTGGGAAGCGTCCAGGCAGCTCTGCCTACTCGAGTCAACACTCAGCCCTGAGACACACAGGTGAAGCGTCTGAAGTGTTCCACCATGTGTTTCTGTGCACATGGCCACCCCTTTGTATTGCCTTGTGAAAACCCGGATACGGTGAATGACAGGGTCTCACAGTGCGGCTTGTGTAGCAGCTGGATTTTTTCAAGGTGTAGTAATCTCGGTGAACAAATGCAAGGAGGCGCCATGGGGGCTTCACTGCATGCGAAGGTGGCTGCTGTGATGGATTCTGGGTGCTGAAGGGAAAACTGATCTTGCTCCTGGGTCAGTGGATACTGTTAGTTCCACCGAGGAAATGTTAGTTCCTTTGTATGTAAAGAAAGTTACAGTGAGAAATTCTAAGAGAATGATGAAAATCACAGTTCTAGCCAGGCTCGGTGGCTCAGCCTGTAATCCTGCGACTTTGGGAGGCTGAGGTGAGTGGATTGCCTGAGCCCGCGGGTTCGAGACCCACCTGGGCAGCAAGACCTCATCTCTACAACAAATCAAAAAATCAGCCAGGCGCGGTAGCGCATGCCTGTAATTTCGGCTCCTTGGAAGACTGAGGCGGAAGGATCGCCGGAGCCCAGCAGGTCGAGGCTGCGGTGGCCGGGAGCGGCCACTGCACTCCAGTCTGGGCGACCGAGTGAGACTCCAACTCAAAAAAAAAAAAGAAAAAAAATCACAGTTCTTAATTTATAATAAAAATATCACCAGTCAAAATAAGGTGACAGAGCTGGTCTACTCTACCCACTCTGCCCCGCTGGCCTAGCCAGGCCACGGTCCCCAGCTGCCCCCTGGTGGCGGCCCAAGCCCAGTGGTTCCCCATGGCTTGCGGATGCCTCTTTTCCTGGCCTCCTTGGAAGGGAGGTTGGGCCCTGCCTGTGCTCCAATTCCTCCCCCTCGTCTGGGACAAGCTCTCAGCCTTGTTTCTTTGGAGGTGACAATAGCTGCCTGCCGGGAACAGATGAGGGCCCGGGTGTGAGGAATACTGACAGCCATCCTACGAGACGCTTGTTCCCCAGCCTGGTTCTGGGTCTTTGGGCCTGAACCAAGTATCCATCCTGGGCGTGGCCTCTCACTCTATCAGAAAAGACTGCTGGGACGCCACTAGCCAGTGCCCAGGTCTCAGGTCTTGAGTCTGGTGGCTCTGCCACTTCCTGGCTCTGAGCTGAGGCCGTGCCTCTAAAACTCAGTTTTATGGCAAAAGGGCGATGGTGAGCTTTGCCTTCCCCACGAGACTTGTGGGAAGTGGACACGAAGCCTCTGAACAGGCAGTTGGCTCTCATTTCGTAGTACCAGCTGACCATGCTGCCCCGAGGATCTCCCTACCCAGGAAACAGGCTCGCACACCCCCGCCCGCCCCATGGGCTTTAATGGGGGCTGCCCAAGGAGGAGCCTGGGGCCACAGAGCCACAGCACAGCTCCTTTCCTTCCCCAGTTCTTGCCTGAAGACAGCCGGAAGCCCCCACTGCCTGCTGCCACCTCCAGCCCCAGCCCCGTCACCATGCACTCCTTGGACGAGCCGCTTGACCTGAAGCTCAGCATCACCAAGCTCCGGGCGGCAAGAGAGAAGCGGGAGAGGACATTAGGCGTGGTCCGGCCCAGGGCTTTGCACAGGGAGCTGGGCCTGGTGGACGATAGCCCCACGCCTGGCTCCCCAGGCTCCCCGCCCTCAGGTACTACCCTGGGCAGGGCTGGGAACTCAGTCCCATACAGTGGTGGCAACAGAGAGAAGGGCTGAGGCCATGGGCCCTCGCAGCTTTCAGTTCCCAGAGCTACCCACGTGCTTGTCAGCTCGTCCCAGCAGTGTCTGGAGGGAGGTGGGAGCTGTGACCTGCCTGCTTCCTGTGGATGCAAACCAAGGCCCAGAGGGACTGGGAGCTGCTGGCAGGGCAGCAGAGAGCCAGAGAGAAGAGCAGAGGTCCCGTGACCTCTCCCCCAGGCTGTGAGGTGGTGTGGTTGGTCGACCAGGCAGCAGATTGAGCCCAGCAAGTGCTTCGTGGGCTGCTCTGTGCTCAGGCCCAGCATGGCGTTCACCCCTTCTGCTCTGCTTCCAAGAGGACCCAGAAAACCAGATCTACATGTCTGCACTCTGGAAGCAGCCCAGTCCAAATCTCCCATTTTACAGAAGGGAGCATTGAGGCAGGGAGGGGGCCTGGGAAAAGTTAGAAAGATCTCTACCTGCTCGTATGACAGGAACCCAGGGGCCCTGGGTTTGAGTCTTATTCTGTTATTCATCCTATATGCCAGACCATTCCCACAGTGCCGAGCTCTCACAGTGGTAAAGGTCAAACAAGATGGGCAATATAACCGCTTCTGTCAGCTGTATAGGCTGCTCCAGAGACCCCAGAATGGTCAAGGGGGTGTGGCTGGTGTCTGCTCCCAGGGTCACCATGGGAGTTCAGAGGTGGGAAGCCCTGGCCTGCCTGGAATTCTGACGCCAGTACTCCTTGACCCGTGCCTCTCCCTTAGGCTTCCTGCTGAATCCCAAGTTCCCTGAGAAGGTGGAGGGACGCTTTTCAGCAGCCCCTCTGGTGGACCTCAGCTTGTCACCACCATCGGGGCTGGACTCCCCCAATGGCAGCAGCTCGCTGTCCCCTGAGCGCCAAGGCAACGGGGACCTGCCTCCCGTACCTGCTGCCCCGGTAAGGAGGGGTGAGGGCTCCAGAGAAAAGGCGGGTGGGTTTCCTGGGGCTGCCGTGACAAAGCACTACAAACCGAGTGGTTGAAACAAGAGAAGTGTGTTCTCTCTCACAGTCCTGGAAGCTAAAGTCTGAAATCTTGGTATCGGCAGGGCCAGGCTACCTCAGAGGCCCTATGGAAGAAGCCTGCCTTGCCCCCCTCCTAGCTTCTGGCGGCTTCTGGCAGTCCTTGGCACTCCTAGTCTGGTAGCTGCACCGCTCCATTCTCTGTCTCCGTCTTCACCCAGCCTCTGTCCCTTGGCATGTGTCTCTGTGTCCAGCACTCCCTCTTCCTTCTCTTACAAAGACACCAGTCACTGGATCTAGGACCCACCCCGATCCAATATGACCTCATCTTAACTTGATGACATGAACAGAGACCTTATTTCCAAATGAGGTCACACGCATAGGTACGGGGATTAGGACTCAAACATGTGTCTCTTCGGGGAACACCATTTAACCCACCACAGAGGCGGCCAGAGGGGGCCCGGGGATGCCAGCCCAGTGTGGCGCTGACCTGCTCTCCCCTTGACCCCAGGACTTCCAGCCCCTGCGCTACTTGGATGGTGTCCCCAGCTCCTTCCAGTTCTTCCTGCCCCTGGGCTCCGGGGGCGCCCTGCACCTGCCTGCCTCCTCTTTCCTCACGCCCCCCAAGGACAAGTGCCTCTCGCCAGAGCTGCCCCTGCCCAAGCAGCTGGTGTGTCGCTGGGCCAAGGTGAGTGGGCGCCAGGAAGCGTGGTGTGGGCTCTGGGGCGGGCCAACCCACATGGGCTCAGAACCCTCCCCGGCCCTGCAGTGTAACCAGCTCTTCGAGCTCCTGCAAGACCTGGTAGACCACGTCAACGACTACCACGTCAAGCCTGAGAAGGACGCAGGATACTGCTGCCACTGGGAGGGCTGCGCCCGCCACGGCCGAGGCTTCAATGCCAGGTGAGGAGAGGGGGGAGAGGAGAGGAGGGAAGAGCTAGGGTTTCCGGCAAGCTGAGCCGCCTCCTCCCCCTCCCTGGAGCAGGTACAAGATGCTCATCCACATCCGTACGCACACCAACGAGAAGCCGCACCGCTGCCCCACCTGCAGCAAGAGCTTCTCCCGTCTGGAGAACCTGAAGATACACAACCGGTCGCACACAGGTGAGGCGGGTGTTCACAGCGGGAGGGACTCACGGTGGGAGGCACTCAGCCTCGGCACAGGGGACAGGACTCCAAGGAAGGTCTGGCCTCCAGTGGCCCTTTCCAGTGCCACCTGCTGGGGGAAATCCGCTTCTGTGGTCAGCCCCAGCACATGCTTCTGGAGTGTGAACATGACTTCCTGGGTCCCATCTGTCGTCTAATGCCACCACCTCCGTGGCTGCAGGGGCTGGGTCAGCTTCCCTCCCCACTGAATCCCACCCCACAGCACAGGCCACATTTAAATATCCTAATCAAGCCGGGCTCAGTGGCTCAGCCTGTAATCCCGCGCCTTGGGAGGCTGAGGTGAGTGGATTGCCTGAGCCTGTGGGTTCGAGACCCGCCTGGGCAGCTTGGCGAGCCCTCATCTCTACAGTAAATCAAAAATCAGCTGGGCGTGGTAGCGCGCACCTGTAATTCCGGCTACTCAGAAGGCTAAGGCAGAAGGATCGCCGGAGCCCAGCAGGTCGAGGCTGCGGTGGCCGGGAGCAGCCACTGCATTCTAGTCTGGGTGATGGAGTGAGACTCCAACTCAAAAAAAAAATCCTAATCATTGCATAAGGAAGTGCAAAAGTAAACAGGTGATGTTCATTGTTATAATACAGTTCGTAGAACCAACCATGTCAAAAATGTTATTTCAATATTTAAGGGAGGCCAGGAACAGTGGCTCATGCCTATAATTCCAGCACTTTGGGAGGGCAGGGTGAGAGGACTGCCTAAGCCCATGGGTTCGAGGCTTTCTCTCTACAATAAACCAAAAAATTAGCCGAGCGTGGTAGCACGTGCCTGTAGTTCCAGCTACTTGGAAGGCTGAGGTGGAAGGATCGCCGGAGCCCAGTAGGTCTTAGGCCCAGTAGGTCGAGGCTCAGTAGGTGGCTGTGAGCATGCCACTGCTCTCCAACCTAGGCGACAAAGTGAGACTCTAAGAAAAAAAATATGTATATATTCAAGAGAAATCAATGAGACACTGGAATCCAACGTGTCACTGAAACCTGGCATGTGCCTTGTGTTCTGGTGTGTTCCACCCGCTCAGCCCATGGAAGGCCGCAGGTCAGAGGCTCCTCTTCTGGCTGGTGCAGCAGCAGATGCTGGCGAATCCTGAGCTGTTGTGTTGCGTGAGGGCCAGCTTGAGGGCAGCTGGCACCCAGGCAGCACACCCAGTAGCCAGGCCCACTCTGGTACCTACAGAAGGCTCTGATTGCCAAGGTCACGTTCTGCTGCTGAAGGGAACAGAGGGCACCTAGCCAGGCCAGGCACAGCTGGAGTCCACCAGGCTGGGCTCTCAGCCACTGTGCCCTGCTGCCCCCCACCTGATGTCAGGCCTCGTGCCAGGTGCTGGGATGCCTCCCTGCAGTATCAGGAGAGAGTGCTCTCAGGGGGTACTTGGCCTGGAGGATGTCGAGTGTGTGGGTGGGGACCCCAGGAGGGGAGAGGGCCCTCATAGCAGCACGTGCCCCCTATAGGTGAGAAGCCCTATATCTGCCCCTACGAGGGCTGCAACAAGCGCTACTCCAACTCCAGTGACCGCTTCAAGCATACTCGCACCCACTACGTGGACAAGCCCTACTACTGCAAGATGCCCGGCTGCCACAAGCGCTACACGGACCCCAGCTCCCTGCGCAAGCACATCAAGGCCCACGGCCACTTCGTGTCCCACGAGCAGCAGGAGCTCCTGCAGCTGCGCCCGCCCCCCAAGCCGCCACTGCCCACCCCCGACGGCAGCCCCTATGTCAGCGGGGCCCAGATCATCATCCCCAACCCCGCCGCCCTCTTCGGGGGCCCCAGCCTGCCCGGCCTGCCCCTGCCCCTGGCCCCTGGCCCCCTCGACCTCAGTGCTCTGGCCTGTGGCAATGGCGGGGGCAGTGGGGGCGGGGGCGGCATAGGCCCGGGGCTGCCAGGCCCCGTCCTGCCTCTCAACCTGGCCAAGAACCCGCTGCTGCCCTCGCCCTTTGGGGCTGGCGGCCTGGGCCTGCCTGTGGTCTCCCTCCTCGCTGGCTCCGCTGGCGGCAAGGCCGAGGGGGAGAAGGGGCGTGGCTCAGTACCCACCAGGGCCCTGGGCATGGAGGGCCGCAAGACACCTCTCGAAAGGACGGAGAGCAGCTGCACCCGGCCAAGCCCCGATGGACTCTCCCTGCTGCCAGGCACTGTGCTAGACCTGTCCACAGGTGTCAACTCTGCGGCCAGCAGTCCAGAGGCTCTGACCCCTGGCTGGGTGGTCATCCCGCCAGGCTCTGTGCTGCTCAAACCAGCTGTGGTGAACTGAGCCCGCCTGGCGACAGCAATGACAACCCAGCCAGTAGCTCCGGGGGCTGCGTGACGAACGGAAACTCTTCTGCGAAATAGCAATAATGTCCCACTGCTCCAGGGCCTGGCCAGCTGCACTCCCCCGGCAGCCCCAGCCCCAGACAGCTGGGCAGCAAGGATGGTGCTAGAAGGTCACATCTGGCTTTCCAGCTCTCGGGTGCGGGCCTGGACTTGCATCCAGGGAGAGCTGCGCTCTTGGGTGCTGAGGCCTCGTGGTCCTCTGGCCCACCTGGCCCACAGCTTGAGGACCTGCCCTACCTTGTCCTCCCTCCCTGGTGCCTCCCTCATCTGGCACTGGGCAGGTCCCCCTTGCTCCTCCATCTGCCCACCTCCCGGATGGCACAGACTGCTACCCAGGCCTCAGCAGTGGGGGGCAGGCAGGGCACACCTCCCTGCTGGCACCAGGCTCCTTCCTGAGCTGCGAGGAACCCGCAGGGACCATAGGTCCCACCCTCTCCTAGGCTCACCCAGCCCCCACCCTGGGGACTCCTTGGACCCCTTTCCCTCTAGCCTGCACTCCAGAGGGAAAGCAAGACAGACGCAGGCCCTCACAAAGCCCCAGGAAGAGGCCACCATTGCCCTCCAGCTCCCATGACAAGGTGCCTCCTGTTTGCTCGAGGCCCGCTCTGCCAGTCCCTCCTTGTGCCCAGGCCCAGTCCAAACAGTGCTGCCCAAGGGTCAGCCACTCTGCTGGGTTGGACAACATTCTCCATACTGAGGGGCTAGTTAACCATTCTCCTGCCCCTGGACCCTGCGGCCACCTCCCTCTACCTTTTGGGGCACCCTGGGAATGGGGGAACCAGGACAGAGGAAGCCCTGAAACAGGAAGGGGCGGGTGCCAGCCAGGCTGGTGTGGTCTGGATTCCTGGCTCCGGGAACTCCGTCTTCCTCATCCACACCCCGGCTGGGCCTGGCCTGGGCAGTGCCACCCTGCAGAGATCTGCAAGGCATCCATCCTGAACAAGGAGGTAGGGGCTGGCTGGGGGCGACCCCAGGCTGGGGCTCCAAGTCACAGCACACAAGCAGCATGGGCTCCTAGCAGGTACTGGGCTGAGAGCTTTTTGGATTTGTGGGCTGAAGGCCCTGGTTTTTGGGATGGCCAGAGGAGGACCCAGCCCCTCTGCCAAGCAAGAGGTGACCAGAGGAGCCTGGACCTGTGGCTCATTTTTCATTTCCTGGCTTTTCCAGCTGAGCCCCTTTCCTAGGGGTGCCCACACCTGTACCTCCATACCCAGTTGGCTCCCCCAGGGTCTGTGCTACTCAGAGGGCCCATGGCGGGGGCCAGAACCATCTAAGGGTGCTGGAGGCCTACATGCCCTGTAGCCCAATCCTGGGGCACACCACCATACTTCCCTCCACCTGGCAGTGGGGAGGCTTTGGCTTCTAAATCTGCCCTGTCCCTAGGCCTAGAGCAGCCAAGCACTTCCATCCCCACCTATAGAACAAAGGAGCTGCCTGGACGGCAGTGGGGTCCTCAGTAGCCCTGCAGTGCCTCTGAGCAGCTCTACTGATCCCGCCCTTTCCTGGACTGCCCTTCTGTCCCAGAGGGGTCACCCTGACCTGACCTGCTGCTGGGCTTTGGACCCCATTCCTGACAGGACTCATCCGAGCTGGCTCTGCCCCTCCAAGGGGCTGTGAGTTAGGTAGGAAGGAGCTGGTCTCCTTTCTTAGGCCCTGCCCAGGACCCAAGCATCCCCAACCATTGTGAGGGCCCCAGGCCTTAAGTCCCCACAGGGTTATGGGTTTGAGACTGGGAGCAGAGGAAAGGGCACTGGAAGGCCAATATTAGCTCAGCATGCGATTCGGTGATAGACCAGGCTTGGAAGGGCCGGTGTACTTTTGTTGTTGTCGTTGGTTTGTTGTTGCACATTCCAGGATATCAGTATTTTAACAGGTTCTAAGTGCCTTTATATTGTAGCTTATGTTTTTCCTCCTCTTGGCTCCATTGCTGTTAGCATAGAGTTTAAAAAAAAGAGAGATAAGCTAACGACTATAACAATATATTCCTCCATGTGAGAGGAAGTTTATAAAGAAACAATAAAAGTGAGTTGCAAAGATGGTTTCTGTGTCACAACTGTGCCAGGAGCTGGGCGGCCTGACTGACAGCACCCCCACCTCGTGCCTGGTTATCCCCCCCACCCACACCGCAGCACCTGTAGGCCCTGATCTGGGGCTTGCTCCCTGGGCCTGCAGGTGCCACTACCTCTCAATCTGCTGCTGAGAAGGAATTGGAAGGGAAGGATGGGGAGGCGGGTGCTGAGTGGGCACAGTTGCAAGGAGCTGAGAGGGAAGATTGTGAACTAGCATCAAGTTCGAGTCCTTACCCCATCAGCACCCACTGTGACTGGCGAGCAGGGCTTCAGTCTGAGAGGCTGGCAAAGGCCTCTTTCCTTACACGGGCACATTCCGCCCGTTACTGAGATGCTAGAGTCAGAGGGAGAGAAGGTGGCCAATGACAGGGCTCGGGCTGGGGGCCTCCACCCTGTGGGAGGGGCGGGGCAGACCTGATGGTGATGGGAGCTGGGGTCTGGCAGGGCGCCACGGGAGGGACTCAGTACAGGCACGGTGGAGGCAGGGGTGGCTGCGTCCAGTAAGTACGTGACAGAACTCAGCCGGGGCCACCGGATGGCTGGCCGCAAACGTGCCCACCCTGGCCCCTCAGGGCTGTCGAAGGCTGCTGCCTCCCTGTCCCCAGCGCGCACAGCCTGCAACTGGTAGGAAGAGCCACCTGCCTTCTGGAATCCGCTGCACAAGAAGTGCTGTAGAGACATTTATTACCAAGGTATAAATTAGAGGCAGGGCACGGGAGCTGAGCAGTCACGTTTTGGGCATCTGCTCCTTTTCTCTGTCCTCCTGGGCCTGGATCCTGAATTCCTCATCCAGGCGCTCCTTCGCACGGACCACCTAGGGGGTGGGTCACAGATCATCAGGCAGGTGGCCGAGCCTCTGCCCTATGCCCCTTGCCTACGTTGGATGGGCCTCCTCCCATCAGGTCAGGGCTGATTTCCTGGAGAGCAGCAGATGGATACGAATGCTTCCTTTAGCAGTTCCCCAGGGCGGGAGGGCCGTCTGGGCTGGCACCTCCTCCACAGGGAGACAGCTAGCCGCCAGAAGCCCAGCAGCGTTGTGTGTCTTGGGCAGAGCTGGTTCTAGCACACCACCGTAGGGGGCTCCTGCTCCTTCCAAGTCCCAGCTGCTGGGAAGGCCACTGTCTGGGGCAACACAGCCCGACTGGCTGGGCCCTGTGGAGCCAAAATAGCCAGATGCAGTTAAGGGGGACTCCCTTGAGGTGGTGGCAGTGCTGGGCCAAGGCCTGACCCACCTTTCTGCCTGCCAAGCTCCCAGGACCGAGGGTCCCTGAGAGAGGACCCTCTCCTCTCCCAACGGCTTACCTCCCCCCAGAATCAGAGACACTCACCTTGGACTGCAAGTAGAAGGAGCCACCCACGGATTTGTCATTCACCTTAAACAAGTGTTCGTAGTTCTGTGGAGACAGGTGAGAGGGCTTGCAGACTGGGCTAGAGACCCCAGGGAGCTATAAGATGATGAAGAAAGCAAGCTACAGGGCCCCACCTCTCCACCCTTCGTGCCACGTGTGCACCAAGGGGAGCGCCAGTGGCCACTAAGGGGCAGAGATGTGACTGGTGCCCGTGGAGGGCTGATCGCGGCTACTGGCAACACCCCCGTCTCTACGCCTGTCTTGCCTCGGGCCTAAAACTTAACAAGCAACAATGGCTCCCCCAAGTCGGAGTTCAAGCAGGCTGCGGTCAGAGCCCCTGCACCTGTCCTCCCTGCCAAACCTCCCTTCACTCTTCTGGCCCTGGCAGCCTACCTCCCCCACTCCCAACTCCTGGCAGCCAGGGTCAGTTTGTCTGGGCTCTGTGGCCTCACCTTCTGGACTTCTTCGGGGCTCAGCTTGGAGACGTTGAGAATCTGCTGTGCCTCCTGAAGGCTGAGGCCAGAGAGGTTGGAGGCAGCTGCAGATTGGTGCCCGGCGCGTCCCCGGGCATTAGCTGCGGCCCGACTAGCTGTGTGGACATGTGGGTGGCTGCTCAGTCCCCGGCAGCCCGGAGCTCCCCCTGGGCCTTCCGAGTGGGTGGCTCAGCACTGCCAGGGGCACAGGATAAGAGACATACCACAGCTGCCTCTTCTCCAGGAGTGGTTTCTTTGTTGGGGGTGGGGGTTGGAAAGTGAGGACAGACATGCTTCACTGGAAGACAAGGGCAGGGTCTGACCACCGAATTGGCAAGATGACCCAGTCCCCTTCTCACCCACCCCAGGACTGGACGGAGTGGGCTGCGGGCAGCTCTGCAGGGCCTGGATGCCCACCTGTTACCTAGATCACTGGAGCCGCTGCCTTGGGTGACCTATTCCCTTTCAATGACCCTAGAATCAGGAGCCACTGTTCTTAAAGGGTCAGAGAGTAAATATTTTAGGCTTTCTAGGCCAATGAGTCTGTGGTGGAATTTCTGAAGTCTGCTTCAAAAGTAGCCAGAGGGAGTGGCAGTGTTCCCATAAAACTTTATTTACAAAAATAGGTGGCCAGGTGGGCTGGTCTGCCATCCCCTGCCCTGGATGCTCCTGCCAATCAGGTCTCACTGAAGATAAGCCTCTCCCTTACATAGCAATGTCCTAAACGCTGGCAGCACCGCTTCCAAGGGGAAGTGCCCCAGGCCACCCCAGCCACAGAGCCCCAGGTTGCAGAGGAATCCCTGCATTCACAGCTGGCAGGCTTAAAGTGCCCATAGCTTCAGGGAAAAGCTGACCTGGGCAGAAGCTCCCAGCCCAGGGGGCGACGGGCCCTCGCTTACCTGCAAACTCCTGCCGTAAGGCCCGGGCAAAGGCCCTGCCCACCACCTGCACACCCATCACAATGATTTGGGCCAGGTACTTGGCCTGTGGGCAAAACAGGCACCTGGTTGGCAGACTGCATGCTTAGGGCCCACAAGGATGGGACCCTGGAAATGGCTGCCAAGTGGCAAGGCTGCTGGAGACCTGTAGGACTGGGCACAGAGCTGCAGCCACAGGCCATCTCGTCCGAAGCGCCCTGACAAAGGCTTCAGGCAGGCTGGGGGTGAGCCTGATGGAGTCCCGAGGCAGACTGGTCCCCCTGGCTTCAGGAAAGGTGTAGAGGAGCCTAGACAAAGTGGCTGCAGGGATGGAGGCCACCAGCTTCCAGAAAAAACACGGTGGCCTGGGAGCCAGAGCACAGGGACAGTCCCAGACTGCTCACTCTTGAACCTGGGGTGGGTGATCGCTTTTCCTGCGCTTCTGAGATCTGCAGTCCAACCTTTGTTACCAGTGGGAAAACTCAGGTCCATTCTAGTTGAACAGTCCCAAGACTTTAGGTCCTATGACTCTGAGTTTGCTCTAGTCAACACAATAGGTACTGAGGATCTACTTAAGGCAAAACACTCTCTGCCTTCAAGAAGCTAAAAACCCACTAGGAAGGTCATTATATGTATGTATGTGTATATTCAGAGTTGGAGTCTCACTCGGTTGCCCAGGCTGGAATGCAGTGGCACACTCATGGCCACTGCAGCCTCGACCAGCTGGGCTCAGGTGATCCTTCCACCTTCACCTTCCAAGTAGCTGGAACTACTTGGGCGTATGCCCGGCTTATTTTTTGATTTACTGTAGAGATGAGGTCTCGCCAAGTTGTCCAAGCTGGTCTCAAACCCCTGGGCTCAGGCAGTCCTCTTGCCTCAGCCTCCCAAAACGCTGGTGTTACAGGCAGAAGCCACCGTGCCTGGCCCACTAGGCAGGTATTTAGACAAACACACTATGGATCAAATGATGAGGGAGAGTAAGTCTAGTTCATCTGTTCAGTCACTGGTTCACTCATTCGTTTGCTTACTGAGTCTACTATGTTTTTTGCTCAGCACTTGGGCACAAAGACACACAGTACCAGGTCCTTGACTAGAGCTGGCCACACACAGACACGGCCTGGCAGGGACACTGTAGCACAGCGAGGCTATACACGCCCTAGGACTGCATGTGCAATTCCATACACCATGGAGGCATGCAAGGGAGTCCCAGTAAGATGTGACCAGATGTGTAGACAAACCAGAGGAAAAACTCAGGAATGACATGAAGATTGTGGGAGAAGATGATATCTCTTTGGGGCTGGGTTTTGAAGGGCAGGTAGAATCATGATGGAAATATTAGGGCATTCTGGGCAGAGGGACCAGGTTGAGCCAAACCTGGGAGGAAAGAGTGTAAAGGAACAGCCCAGGTTGGCCGGAGAGAGACAAGGAAAGCAGGAGACATGGAAAAAATGCACAGATCTGTAAAACAGAGATTATACAGAGATGGCACACACATGGAGTGGCATATGTGTGGGTATGTGCAGCATACTAGAAGACCACTGGGCATAGGCTGGCAGGGCCCACGTGGCACAGCAAGGACTTTCCCTCCCTCCTTGTATTCTTCTGTAGTTAGATGTCCCGTCAGTCAACAAGTACCAACTGAGCCCATGTGCCAGGCACTGGGTCAAACACTCTATTTGTTGTGCCATTTTATCCTGAACTCAAGGGTTTTGGTGACTGGCTGGAGGGTGTACAGCTAGTACCTGCGGAGGCAGGCAGGAAACCCAAAGCTGGCGCCGTCAGCCATGGCAGCCACAACCCAGGCAAGAGGGGCTCATGTGTCACACTCCCGTGGATTTCAGACTCCAGAGCTGGCCTTGTCTGACTGTCCTGGTCCTGCTCTTCCCCCACAGGAGGGATGTGATGATGGACCATCAGGGGGATGAACAAACAGAAGTGGGTTTGGATTTCACAAGTAGGTGGAAATTTCATAAGCGCTGGATTTCACACCAGAAAGCAGAACCCAAGGAAGACTCTCCTGTGAAAAAGGAGGGGCGGGGCTGTCGCCAGCTGGGCTCACTGTCAGATGCGCCTGCTGATGCCCATGCCGACCAACAGTCTCACCTGATTTCTGCCTCCCTGCCTGGTGCCACTCCTTCTGAGATGGACCGCTGGACTGCAGTAGGTTACTCCAGATGGTTCCCTTGGCCTGGACCACCCCTCAGGTGTCAGACTACCCCTCCCACCAACAGCCTTCAGTCCCTCTGCTGCCATCACATGGCCTTGTAATTTTACTTGTGTACTTTTCTCTCTTTTTTTTTTGAGTCGGAGTCTCACTCTGTCACCCAGACTGGAGGGCAGTGGCCGCTCCCGGCCACCGCAGCCTCGACCTGCCGGGCTCCGGCAATCCTTCCGCCTCAGCCTTCCAAGTAGCTGGAACTACAGGCATGCGCTACCATACCCGGCTAATTTTTGATTTATTGTAGAGATGAGGTCTC